TCTCCAACCAATATTGCATGAATTCCCAATTGACAATTTTGAATTTGGCCAATACTCTCAAAATCATGAATCTTCTGGTTCTGATGACTTAAGTCCTCGACATCTACCTCGAACAAGAAAATTCAAAAAATCAAGTTTAAGTGTTTTTTATTTGGTATCACCAAAATTCCAAGCAAAGTTGGATTTTAAAAGAGAAATTAGACCCCTAAGTGAAAAGTAGGAAACTGAGGTAAAAAGCAAGATTTTCAAAAACCAAGTTGAAATGCCAAACATAAAGAATTTTGGAAAACTCATGGTTTCACAAAAAAAAAATTCAAAAGCACACTACAGTCAGTGGATATTGCAAAAAGGAATATACATTGGCAAAATCTTTTTTTCCAAAAACTTCTGCAAATTTCAAAAGGAAGTCACATCAATTTCACATGATTCCTTAACAAATCCGAATTGGAAGGGTATTTTGCCAACACCAAAACTGTCTAAATCACTTCAGTCAGTCACAAAGTCAAATCCTAGGACTGGACCACGTGATAATACTTTTTCAAGTCCCAAGACCACTCCAACAAAACACACCTCAAGGACCGGTCACAAGAACAAAGTCACATGCTTCCTACCGATGATCAAATACGGGGTCTGTATAAATGACAAAAATATTGCTTTTTGATTTCACCCACTAGAAAATTCACGTCCTATCAAATCTGTTGACAATCCAAAAGTTGTGAAATGCCTTAGACTAGATTTAAAATCCAAGAATAGACTTGTTCCTAAGACCTACGAATCTATCAAGAAAGCATCCCATGTTACCAAGGGGTCCAAACTTGTTTGGGTGCCCACACTAACCTACTAGTTTTGTAGGAAATGTGCAAGGAGGAACAAGAAGAATGGTTAATCGATAGTGCTTGCTCCTTGTACATGTCAGGAAGGTTAGACTACCTTCGAGACTTCAAGTTAATCAGCGGTGGTGGACACATCACCTCTAGGAACAACAAAAATGGAACTATCAGGGGATATGGAGTATTAACTATGGGGAGCTTCTCAATTCAACGAGTTACTTACGTATAGGGCCTCAAGCATAATTTGATAAGTGTTGGGAAATTGTGTAAATTAGACCATCAGGTCGAATTCGACAATGAGTATTGTTACATAATGATGACTGAACGCAGCACATGCCTCATCATATCCAAGGCTGAAAGGGACAATGTACCAATTGGATGTTTCTCCAATCATCAAGAAACTGCAGCTATGCTTTCTCTTAAAAGCAGTGTTTGAATCAAGTTTGTTGTGACCCCACAAAATAGCTCACCTTAAGTTTAGATACATCAAAAACCTGCTCACTAAAGAGTTAGTCCGTGGACTACCAATCCTCAAGTATAGTAGTGATACTCTCTGCCCAGCCTATGAATGTAACAAACAGGCTAAGGGTAGCCATCCTCTGATTATCGCTCTTCAATTGATGGACCTATTGAGCTTCTATACATCAATCTCTATTGTCCATGTACAGTATCCAGTCTTCACCACAAGAAATACATTCTGGTTATAGTTGATGACTTTACTCGCTTCACTTGGGTCTTCTTCTTGAGACTCAAATCAAACACACCGTAGATCATGATTAACTTCATCAAGGAAATTAAGCTCCAAATCAAGCTGTCGGTCAGAAGGATAAGAAGTGATAATAGAACTGAATTCACTAATCAACTATTAAATAGCAACTTGGTTTCAAAGGACATCAGTCACAACGTCTCGGCACCCTACACAACACAACAAAATGGAGTAGTAGAGTGAAGAAATCACACATTGGTCGAAGCAGCTAGATCGATGTTGAGCTTTGACAACCTTCCTCTCTACTTTTGGGCAGAAACATTGGCAACTGCATGCTTTGTTCAAAATAGAAGCCTCATTTGCAAATGCCTCTACAAGACTCCCTATGAAGGTCTCAACAACCACAAACCCAATGTCCGCTTTTTTCAAATTTTTGGATGCAGATGTTTTGTGATCAACACCAAGGATCATCTTAAAAAATTTGCACCGAAGTCTCATAAAGGAATATTCTTGGGTTACTCTACAAATAAAGTCGCATATAGGGTTCTTGTGAGACATACCAGACTAATAGTTGAAAGTTTTGATGTTAATTTGATGACTATTACGTCCGCTACTCTGCTCCTTCCTCATAAACAAAGTATATTATGGAAAGTGATATCCCCATGTCTTTGGGTCCTTGGAACATAGTTGAAGTTAACTATGATGATCTCTTCGATCCTGCAGAGACAACTCACTTTTTAGAAATCTTGGTGTCTTCGATAGCACAGCAACAACATGCAGTGGTATCTGCACCTATCTTGTCTGAAGGAACATCATTCAATACTTCCACTTCTTCGGTTGAGGGGGAAAGTCTAGTTCCTTTGGAAGTAACAACCACAGAGGTTCCAATACTTAAAGATAATGCTCCAGTGCGCAACCGCAGACTGACCATTCAATCAACCATTTCTGAAGACTCTGAAGAAGATATTGAAAACATTGATAGAAGAAATAAATCAAGGATTATTCATCACTCATCAATTCAAGGTGAACCAACATCACTTGTCCAGGGGGAACCATCCACGGTTCAGGGGGAACTCTCATCATCAATCCTGGGGAAACCTCCTTTACCTACCATACACCTAATTTCAACAAATCAAGACTCATCTTTCGGCTGTTCTCAAATCAAGGTGGAACTACCTTCTCCTACCGTAGAGTCCTTAGATGTAGAGGGAATTCCCTATCGTCGAACCCAGAACAACCAAAGAAGTAGTTATGGATCCCGAATGGATCATTACAATGCAAGAGGAACTAGCTAAGTTTGAAAGGAACAAAGTTTGAAAATTGGTACTGAAGCCAAAACGTCATACAATCATCGCTACCAGATGTGTGTATAAAAACAAGTTAGATGAATTCGGAGTGGTGGTGAGAAATAAATATCGTTTGGTCGCCAAGGGGTATAGTCAACTTGAGAGTGTTGAATATGATGAAACGTATTCCCCTGTATCAAGAATGGATGCAATACGCATCTTCTTAGCATATGTTGCTCACAAAAACATCAAATTTCATCAAATGATGTAAAAAGTGCCTTTCTGAATGGAGAACTGGAGGAAGAAGTCTACCTACAACAACCTTCAGGCTTTGAAAGTCTAGAATTTCCAAATCACTACTACAAGCTGGAGAAAGCAATATACGGTCTTAAGTAGACACCCACAGCGTGGGATGAGACTCTCTCTGAGTTTCTTGTCACCTCAGGATAAAAAATAGGTATGATTGATCCCACGTTATTTAGAAGATCAAATGATAATCAATTGATGCTTGTTTAAATATATGTGGATGATATCCTTTTCGAATCAACAGATCAAGGTATGGTGGATGATTTTGCAAGGCTCATGACAAGCAAGTTTCAAATGAGCATGAATAGAGAGATAAAATTATTCCTAGGACTTCAAGTTAAACAAGTTCCTCAAGGGGTATTCATCCATCAAGACAAGTACATCATTGATTTGTTGAATAAGTTATCGATGGACAATTGTTCTTCGACAAAGTTTCCTATGGCCTTTGGATATAAGATCTCATCTGACCCTATCGGAGAGTTAGTTGACCACAAAACCTACCGAGGAATGATTGGGTCATTGATGTACCTCACCGCTAGTCGACCCTAAAGTATAGCACTTAACTGCACTCAAGAAAATCATTAGAAATCTAAAGGGAAGTAAAGCAATGGGCCTCTGGTAGCCTACAAGGAATGACTTCAGTCTTTAAGCATTCACAGATACAGATCATGTTGGGTACAAATTCGATCGTAAAAGCACTTCAGGTAGATGCCAGTTCTTAGGAGGAATATTAGTTAGTTATTTTGTCTACCGCAGAGGCGAAATATGTAGCCACAACCAGCTATTGTTCCCAAGTAATTTGGATGAAGACTCAAATTATGGACTACAGTTACAGGATGTTGCGGGTGCCCATCTACTATGATTTATATAGTGAAATAGTGATTTCTCTTAATCCTATTTATCACTCGAAGTCGAAGCATATTGAACTACGGTTCCACTTCATCAAAACCACATCCTCATAGGTAACATCGAACTCATTTTAGTGCCCACTAAAAAAGAAATAGCTAATGTTTTTACTAAGGCACTCGATGCTACAAAATTAAATGGATTTTTGGAAATTCTAGGAATGATGAACCCAGACCCACAGTTCTTTTTGAAATGATAAGTACTGCATACCACTACAGGTCTCAAGGGGTGAATGAATCGCTTCTTTTCTTTTCAAAACAAAAACAAAAAATCTTGAAGCAGATCCTTCGCTGTGGTTCTTCTCAATAGAATAATATATTCTTCATATTTATTCTTATGCATACTTTGTATACTGAAATCATATATGATCAATATATTTTTCAGATCTTTTATTTCTTTGGTTGCTAACCTTCATGATCAAATTTGTTTTTCAGCTACTGTTATCACAGTCACTTTACATCCTACCGTAGTTGAATTGAATGAGCCTGCATTCATCACTTCATAAACACCTTTAAAAAATGTTGTGTGCAATGCATTAAATTTTCCTCTTGTTAGGATGATAATCCTTTCAGATCGATTAGATTCAAACAGGCAAAGCAAGAACACAACGATAATCAAACAGATATTGAATGATTCAAAGTCATGCCTCAGAAGAACTCTATGAAGAATTGCTACTGTAGAGGTGTGATTAGGATTACAGCTAAAATCATAAGAGTTATAAAAAATAAGACACATGCATGCACCATAAATACTCTAACCCTAGAAATAAAGACAAGTGGACAGGCCCAACTCCTTAATACAAAAGACTAAACTAAAAGCCCAATGAAACAACATCTAAATACTTAACAATCTCCCCCTTTGCATCAATTGGGGCTATATTCAATCAACCGGGGATGTGCTTCTGTACTGCATAGATTTTAGGAACGAAGCTCAGCAGCACTTTGCGAACCTGAATATACCACAAAATCATATCCAAGAACACTTGATGTCATCCTTATGGTTGCCCTTGCACTTGGTAATCAAGTCCAATATAAATTCCAGACAAGAAGAAGTGTATAAATGTTTGTCATCATGAAAGAAGCAAGACTTGTGAAAGTCAGCTCCAGTTCTTTCTCTAGACTGATACACCATGAACCATCCATCATTGTATATCTTTCCTGGCTTTACTATTTCAAAGTCTTTGAGAGCTTCCTTGGGAACGACAATAGGATTTTTGCTCAAAACGATGGCAATATCCACATCCATCTCACCAACTTCTTGAATGTAGGACTTGATCATTAGTTGGGGCTTCATATGCTTCAAGTAGAAGGAGAACAACATGTGATCAGCACCGTTGTCTGTGATAGGAGCATTCACAACCTTCACAAAAGCACGAAGCTTGAAAGCCTTAGGAGTAATGGGAAGATCTAATTGCAAATCCTAAGAATTTTGAATATCAAAGGATGCAACCGGATCGAACCAAAACTAGTTGAGAAAATCCACACATCTTGTTGGATTCGCTTCAAGGTCCACTTGGGAAATAGGAGCATTTTGCTTTTGAGTGTAGCCTAAGCTTATTTTCGTCCTTTTCTTTCTCCTCAGCCTCCTTGACGATACATTGATTTTCATTCAACTCTGCATCACGAGCCTTCTTCCTTTTAAGCACAGCTTCATCAGGCTCTTCGTCTCCGTCATTCTCAATTATAGGCTCTTCACCAATCAGTTTTTCCTTGCCCTTAGGTTCTTTCTTGAAAATGGGTTTTGATGGGGCTTTAGGAGGTTCGTTTCTTGACACTCCAGATCTACCTTCTTCCGCTTGTTTTGGATAAGAGTTTTGAGGCGAAACAACCTCCAGTCAGTGAAGCGTAGCAAATATAGGGCGTAACTTTTCAGCTAAATGCTTCCAAACTGTGATGGTAATCATTGAGTCCCTGGTGTCAATGATATCTGAGAGTAAACCTATAACATCTGAAATATAGCTTCGCATGACTGCGCTCTCAGATAATAGATCCTTGACCTTTTTCTCATCATTTTTCAGTTTGAGACCACTACAAGAAAAATGCGATTTTGCTAGGAAATGTATCCGTTGCGAAAAGCTGAAATTCCGTTGCAAAAGACAAATAGCGACGGAATTTGCAACAACCAATTTTTGTCACTAAAAACCTCGTAGCGAGGGTTTGCTAGGGAAATGATCATTCCGTCGTAAATGTGACAATGGAATGAAATACGTAGTAGATGATATTCCGTTGTGTATTCCATAGTAGGATTCCATTGTGAATTTCGTAGTAGTTCTTCCATCACAAATTCTATTGTAGTGGATTCGTAGCAAATTTCATGGCAATAAATCCCTAGCAAAATATGTGGTGATGAATCCCTAGAAAAATCCGTAGAGATGAATTCTTAGCAAAACTCATGGTGATGAATCTCTAGCAAAATATGTGGTGATGAATCCCAATCTAAATCCGTTGTAATGAATCCCTAGCAAAAAATTTTGGTGACGAATCCCTAGCTAAATTTGTTGTGATGCTAGCTACAGATGGATAATTAATTTTGAAATTAATTCCTAATTATTTTGTACGAATATATAAAAATAAAAAATCAAATAAAATTTATACCGTAAATAAAACAAGAAATATTTATTACATGGAAATGAATAGTAACATAATTTAAAATAAAACTTTGCAAAAAACAAATCAACACTCTATGAATTTCTAGTTTTATAGTTCTTTAGAATCATTAATAACCGTCATTGTCGATTGTAGTTGTCATTTAAGTTGCTCGCATTTTATGTTGTGTTGTCCATCTTTGGCCTATATTATTTCCTTCATGTCTTCGTTTTGTTCATTTGTTTCCTCAAAAACTCCCTCACTTCTTCCAATTCATCATTGTCGTCCGAAAAGAGACTTGTTGCATCATGCACAAAATTGTAATATATAAAAAATCTATCTCTGAAGAATAAGCATACACCATAACATAAATCAATGATAGTAAAAAAAAAAAAAAGTAGTAAATGGATGGAAAATAATAAATAAAAATAAAAACCTGAAAATTTGATGCAAGCGCTTTGCTAGCATTAAAATGATTAACTTAGGGCCTACTAAAAATAGTTAGAAAACCAACATATAAAAATAAACCACAAAATTTTACAAAAAGATAACAAATGAAGCAAAATTCTCAACTTCTATACCTTGGCATTACATTGAGCACATTGTGGGCAGAAGCAAAAGTGAAACTATTAACACCTTATAACTTTCCTAGCTAGTTGTAAGTCCCCAATCTGCTTGAGTATCAATCGGATTCGTTTGATGGTGCAGAATCCCAATCAAATAGATGATGTCAGATCAAATAGAAGAAAATGAGAAGAAGAAAATGATGAATCTTGTATGTATTGATATCAATGAAGATCCGGATACAATATTCACACACACTTAAGCTCCCTATTCTCTTCTGTTCATCACTAAAAAAACGTTACCCTTACACTCCTCAACCTAGATATATATATATATATATATATATATATATATATATATATATATATATATATATATATATATATATATATATATATACTCACACATGAGAAACATAGGCCGAAATGGGTTTACGGTCGTAAACACCTCCCTGGCTGTAAACCTGACCGTAAAATCATAAAACATTACAGAAAAATACATTTGCCTAGAAAAGCAAAGTATAAACCATATTTTTGACCCAACAATCTCCCCCTTGGTTTATAGCTTTCTTTTCTTAATTGACCCAACAAGCTCCCCTTAAAAAGTAGCTTGCTTTTCTTGTTAATCTCCAGTTGGAGATTAGCTTCAGCGTTTATCTTCGATGACTTCACAGTTTCAAGATGAACTTGATGAATCTTCAATAAGCGACTTCATCTTGAGCAGTTGGGAATTTCTTCAGAATTTGACATTTAATGCACATTGGGTGAGGAGGCTTATTGTAGAGATTCTTGAAAATTGGTGCTTTCAGCTTTATAATCCTCGGAGAGAACTTCAGAGAGAAATAATTTTCTGGATCACTTCAGTAGGTTCATAGATAGCAGCATATTGATTGAGGAGGCTTCAATGCAATCCATCACTTAATCTTCAATTCCAACTTCACCTTGCTTCTGGGGTTGAAAGAATAATCTTTATTTCTTGCTCATTCGAATGAGAATTCTTCGATGATCATGGATGAAGCTTTGGCTCATAAATTTTCGACACAAACTCCATGAGTTTCATCTACACCTGAAATCACTTTTCAAGACAAAACAAAACTAAAAAAAAAAACTTAAAACAAAAACAAATTAGAAGTAACACTATTTTTGGATTTTTAATTTTCTGATTTTTGTTTGATTTTTGAATTTTTTTATTATTTTTTATTTTTTTATTCTCCCCCTAAATTTGTGCATAGAGGAAAACTATGAACAAATTTAACAAAAGAAAAATATTTGGGATCAAAGTTGTGAGACAACTTGAACTTGTTTATCAGTACCTTCACTTTTATGAGTAGATCTGGTCAATTGTCGGTATTGTGGTCCACTTAAACACGAAGAATATTGACAAACGTTTCTAAATAAACCATTTAGCTGACGACGACCATGGGTATTGTTGTCCACTTAAATTAAGCAGCGAGATCTACAAGCAACCTCTTAAATGGTTCAATTTTAGTTGCACTAGAACGTGTTCCCCACTTCACGATATACCCTGGTTATCAAAAACATCCTAAGGACTCCTTACTTTAGGTGAGTAAACAATTATTAAGGAGGAAGTCAGATTTAGAGATAGATGCATATGTTGTGTCCCAGGTCGGATCTCTTTCAATCACGTAGAAGGGACAACATATGGCTAACTAGAATAGAAGGAGTGAGAATTAGAATGTTGCATAGGCTGTGTCCCAAGTCGGATATTCCGAACACGCAGAGGGGACAGCATATGGCTAATAGATAGAAAGAATTTCTTAGATAAAGAGGTGCGTAGAAATAGAGTTGCATATGTTGCATTCCAGGTCGGATTATAAGTTGTGACTACCCGATATTTCGAATCAATGTAATGACCTAAAAAGTCGAGAATTGTAACCTCTATCGATATAATGAAATTAGTGTCAAAAATAAAATGTTCAAAAGTCTCTATTGGCTTGCCTAAAATGATAGTTGTCGTGTCAAGGTTTTCAGAAATATAAAGAACACTGAAATCTGAATTATAACGAAGAAGATATGACCAATCGAAAATTCGTGTCAAAACCGGTAGATAGATAAAAAACTCGAAATAGAGATCGAGGGATTCATGGCTGAAATAACCTAAATGAGAATCGAAGATCTCAACAATAGTAGCTCAACGATAAAAAGTCTGACGAAAATGGACACCGGATGAAGAAGTTATGGATTTTTAACGGACTTTTCCTGTCGCGACCTGTTAAATATAATATTGAAAATAAAGTCAAATTTAGCTGACAAAGTCCAAAGAAGAGTTGTAGAGCATAATCTCGCCTACGCGTGGATATAAAGAACGTTGAAAATGGAGCTCGTGCGCGGAAGTTACGGATTTTACAAATTCGGGACACAAAACTCGAGGCTGTCAAGCAGCTCAAAGACGTGAACCACCCATACTCACGACGTGAACCTGCGACTGATGGGTTCCAGAGCCTATTAATGAGTTTTCAAGTCTACGAGAGGAGGCAGTTCGAGCTCACGACGTGAGCCACCCAAACTCATGACGTGAACCTCAAATTTCATCCCTATAAATAGAAACCGATGGTTTAGGGTTTAGATGTGCAATTATCTTCTCTCTCGTGCCAAAGCTCTGCATTTTAACCCCCGAAGCCATCCCAAAGCCCTGGTCTTCACATCTAAGTCCCGAAGGAAGGTTTTACACTCCCAAGATTCTCGAGATTACCGAGAATATCGAGAAATACGTTTTCTCCTGTCGAAGTTCTGCCCGGTTTTCCTCTCACCTTCTTCAATCTATCAAGTGAGTTCATACCCTTATAACTACGTTTTCAAATGCTTTGTAAATGCTTTTATACACTTTTAAGGGGGCAAATACAAGTAAACACACGATTATCCTTGTGTGAATAACATAAATCTTTTGCTATACTTTTGTTATAATCAATCATATGTGATTTATAACTAACATACGAAAACGTTCTCAGACAACATATCACGATAACACTTTGTCCATTTTGAAATGAAAGATGTTGTTATATAAATAAAAAAAACACTTTATTCATATTTTGATTATAAATGTTCAATGATGTCATTATAAATGTTATACTTTACGTACAAAGTCGACACTACACTAGGGTTTACCATACAAGCGAAACACACTTTAGGAAAAACTATAATACGTATAGTTTACAGGGAAATCATGAGGCTTTACATACTATAAGTACTATATCAAGTAAATACTTTCATATACAAGAACAAAGGGATTTTCATACGTAAATCTATTTGATCATAAGTTTTGTGAGACATTCAACTTCACGTACTTTCAAGTATGCCGTTAAAGTCCTGTATTATATACCATGATCTCTTGTAGGGAGAGCGTGACACTCGTGTATAGATCTATACGGGATCGAAAATCTCGCACCTAAACTGTTAGCTACAGTTAGACCGACAGGTCTGGGGTGACAAACGCCATAACATTCCAATGCCTGGAGAACGTTGTTACAGGCAGCCTAGGTCAATAGCATGGTTATAAAACTCACATGGAGTATTAAAAAAACAATGATTTACGGGGTTATCAAATGTCTTAGTAACTTTATACATATATAAATCTATTATTCTAGGCATGACAACTACTAATGCATTACAATTTTGGAACTTTTAAACTACCACACACTCATGGAAAAATAATGGATTTTTCTGAAGGAAATCAATGATTTTATACCAAACTTACAAATTTTATACATAAACGCTTATGAAGTCACCAAATTAAGACAAGTTGGACACTACGACTAGTCTTCGGAATATTTAATTAGATTTGGGACGAGTATAGCCTGATCAACTATATTTATCCAAGATCGGACTAAAGTATGTCGGGGAATGGTTGGAGTGAGCAACAAGTCAAAAGTTACTAAAATGACACTAGTATCAAACATACAAATTTAAATACTATAGGAGTATTTGGTAAATGCAATAGTTTAACCTGCATATTTAGACTTACATGTTTCAAAATTATATAATTCTTATAACCCCATTCTCGTACAGTCAAAATGGTTGGATTCCATCCACCCAGGGATCCATACTACCCGAACCAGGGAAATAGAGGATGGGTAGAGGAGGACCCCGAAGAATATGAGGAACCCATGAA